GGCGCCCGAGCCCGACGGCTGCCCCGTGTGCGTGTGGCGGCAGCACAGCCGCGAGCTGCGCCTGGAGAGCATCAAGTCGCAGATCCTGAGCAAACTGAGGCTCAAGGAGGCGCCCAACATTAGCCGCGAGGTGGTGAAGCAGCTGCTGCCCAAGGCGCCGCCGCTGCAGCAGATCCTGGACCTGCACGACTTCCAGGGCGACGCGCTGCAGCCCGAAGACTTCCTGGAGGAGGACGAGTACCACGCCACTACCGAAACTGTCATTAGCATGGCCCAGGAGAGTAAGTGGACGGCAGGGCGCGAGTGGTGGGGTGCTGGCTTGGGCTCCGGGAAAGTAAGCGCCTCCGGCTCCGAAGCGGGGCGGTCCCGGCTGCTCCGGCCCAGAAGCCTTTTCTGCGAAAACTTGACGGATTTAGGGGCGGGGGCTAATCCATAGAAGTTTTTCGAGCGGTGGAGATGGGATGCGGAGTTGTGTGCACGCCTCGTACCCGGAGGTGGAGTGGGCAAACAGGATTGGGAGGACTTCCACCCACCCGGGAGTGAGAAAAAGACCCGTGTTTGGGGGAGTCTGGGGAAGCCGGGACCCACCAGCAGAGGAGGGGAAGAGGCAGCAACTGAGTCCTGAAGTGCCATGACGAAGAGGCTGGAGAATAGAATCGGGAGGCTTCGGGACCCCTGCAGTTCCGGCAGGGCTGCAGTGATCTCTGCCTCCCAATACCCCTGGTACCAACTCTCCACCCTTTGCACCTTGGGCTTCGTTCGCAACGCGCCCACCCGGCTGCAGGGAACTGAATGCTCCTCTCCCTCTCCCTCTCCCAGGAATGAGATCCCTGTATCTCTCCCCGGCGGAGAGTCTAGCTGGCACCCATTCCACCCGGAGCCCTTCTGACACCCGGTCTCACTAAGGGGTGGAAAAGCTATGCCTTCTCGATATAGACCAAGCTCAGAGATCTTAACTCCATTACGCTGGGGCTAAGGGCACCGGTTTGGTTGTTCAAACCTTAGTGTTCCATCCCTTATTCACCAACCCCTACCCGCACCCGGACTTGAGAAGAGGAAGGAAGACCTAGCGAGAAAAATAATGTAATAGATGGGGATGGAGGAGGAACCCCGGCATCCAAGCCTCTGGCCAAACGGAAGATGAACATGTTAATAGACTTGAGCTGCTTTGAAATTTTATGGCCTGGAAAATCCAGGCCAACACTCCCCTCAACTCCCCCAAACTCCCAAGCTCTCCCTAGGGTCAGATGACTTTTTCCCCTCCCCCACTGAGGTTGCACCCCCTCCCCAAACTCCAGGGAAACAGGCCCTCTCATTCCCTAGTGATTTGGCAAAGTCACCCCCCACACACACATGCACACACAACTGTTTGGCTTTATGGCTGTGAACAGAAGAGGGGGGAAACTGGTTTATTGGCAGATGGGTCATAAAAAGCTGGTGGCCGAGGGGAGTCCTAGCGGCCCATCCCTATGGGAGGCTGAAGCACCCAGGTGTGCATCTGGAAGGCGGAGAGCCTCTACTGCCACCAGTTTTTTTGCAGATCCTAACTCTACAGTACTTGGTCAGGGCTGGAAAGAAAACTCAAAGGACTAGGAAACTAACCCCGGGGTGGCATGGGGGTGAAGGCCTAGGATCTGGTCTTGGGTTCCTCAGTCTTCCTTCTGTTCTTAAGGCTTCTGCTTTGTAGATGCTCGGGTCAGTCTGAGATTGACTGAGGGCAGGGATGGGGGTGGGGATTTGTGAAACAGAGTTGTAGAGGAATTCTGAAGACTTTGCCAGAAGATGAAGGGTACAGAGGGAAAAGATCCTCTGGTCTATGTGGTGTGTGTGCGCGGACTTCCAGGTAGTGACAGAGCTGTGGGAGCTGTGGGCTTCCCCTTACCCCTTTCTATACCCAGCATCCCTTGACCAAGGGGCCTGAGCCTGGTAGTTAGCCTGATAATGGGGATGCGGGAAGTGAACCGACTCTGCATGCTTGGATTGGGAAGTGTAGGTTAGGCTGGGGGGTTGGGGGAAGGACACCAGCAAGTGGGGTTCCACCCCAACTTCCGCCCTCATGCCACCCCTGCACTTGGATAACTAGGGACTGGGTCTCCGGCCAGGTATTGTACGTCCCCTTTAAGAGCCAAGCTGAGCTCTTAAGAGAGGGAGGGGGAGCGGAGGGGAGGGGAGGGAGAGAGGGGAAAAGGAAAAAGAGACTTTTATAGTCTAATCCCCAGGGACCCGCTTTAATAAGAGACTTGTGCTCTGCTAATCGGGGGAGGTGTTTGTCAGCAGAGATGGCCTCCGCTCCCCTCCCCCTTCTTCCCTTCCCCCCAGCCCTCAACCCTGGACCCCAGCCCCCACATCTCCTAGGCTGCTGTGCCTGCCCTAGTTCCCTCCACCCTCTCAGGCTCTCCCACCCCAGCCTTCATCCTGGGAACCCAGCCCCCTTGCCCTTCTGGGAGCCAAGCCCAGCCCCTCAGTTTCTCTCTCCTCCCTACACCAAGAGGCCCCTGTCCTCTCAGCCCAACCTCCTGCCCCTAGGCCTTCCAGCCAGGGTAAGGAGTGTGTGTATGGGGGTGGAGGGAAGGGGGAGGTGGTGAACAAGGAGGGGGTTGGGCTTTTGCTGAAAATAGTGCAATGACCTCTCTCCAGACCAGCGCCGCCTACTAAACCTGACCTGCTGCCTGCCACCAACCCAATCAATCCAACACAGATGTGGCTCCTACCCCTCCCCTTGGGAGCTGGGCCTATGTGTGTGTTAGGGACTCTCTCAAGCCCCTTGTTTCCCTCTGTGGCTCTACCTGCTTCTCCTTTGTTCCTCCTTCTGTATCCTTCTGTCCTTTCTCTTTACCCCACTAGATTTAGCTATCACCCTCCTTTTGCTTAACCTCCAACCACTCCTTTTGAATCCCCCCTTCTCTCCCAGTATTCTCCAAACTCCAAACTTATTTCTTCTTCCCCTACCGTGACCTTCCCCTCTTTTCTCCATTTCTCTGCCTATCTCTTTTAACCTACCTTCTTACCTAACAGTCTTTTCTGTTATCTCCTTCACCATCTCGTCTGTCTCTTCCCTTCTTTCCCTTTCCTTTCTCCATATGTTGTCTTTGTCCTGTCCCCTTATAGTAACTGACTGTCCCCACATTCACTGGGGGAGAAGTGTATGGTGATACCCTGGGGTAGGGATGGGGGACTCTGCCTAAAGGAACCAAAGACTTAGAGGGATGGGGCCCCGGTGCCTAGTCCCCCATCTCTAAGCTTTGGGTCAGCTTAGGTAGGAGAGTATATTTAGAGCTTAGAAAACTAATAACAAACCAACATTTATTGAGAAGCTCAAACTATTTTCACATTATTTAATGCTCAGCACTCCTATGAAGCAAGGATTATTATCTGTTATCACTGAGAAGTTTGGTGGGTAAGGTTAGATGCTGGTTAATGAGGAATAAGGCTGTGATTAAACTCAATTCAGTTGTAGTCAAAAAACAGTGTTTATATGCCAGGAAGAACTTTTAGGCATTGGCCTGTATAATTTAAGACTGGAAGTTTAGGGAAGTTGATTCGGCATGCATTTATTGAGTACGGCCTGGTACTATGGGAGGCACTAAAGCTACAATGGTGAGCAAAACACACAGTATCAATACTGCCCACACTTAGGAAATTAGTACCTAATGGTAAAGACAGGCAGAAAAATAAGACAATCTCTATGCTGAAGTTAGGCATAGTATGCTATTTGGATTATTGTCACTCCTCGTCTTACCAGCAGCATCCCTGCCCCAGCTACTCTCCTGATCTTTGAATCTCCACTCCATACACCCTACCTACCCCACTGCACCATCACTGCAGCTCCAGCAGGATAACTGGAAGGGCAACCAGTGTCCTGGATCTCAGAGAAGAACCAAGGAAAAAGAAGCTGCAGGGAAACTTTGTCTCATACCCTGAATATATGAAGATTATTAAGCACTTTTGTCCACATCTCATTTGGAGGATCCTTCTCTTGGCGTTGGAGTGGGGGAGTGCTGATGAGAAACCACAGATGTCAACTCCTCCATGATTACACAGAACTCTGAGACCTGGACATAATACATAAGGGCTTGAACTTCCACATTATACTTACATGGCTATGGAAGTTAATTCCTTTCTTCCTCTCTCAGTCCATTTAGAGTGAGAATAGCTATTCCTGTCCAGAAGAAACATGATTTAAGGCATTTCCAACTGATTTAAGAGATTAGAGAGGGGGACTGAGAAGAGCTGCAATGGAGGTAGAGGCAGATAATGAGAATCATCCTTTAGACTCAACAAGGGCCAATTTATGGTTCAAAACAAGGGGAAATGGGCCAAAATGTAAAGTCTTACTGGCAGTGGACTGAGAAACCACAGGAAGCTCAGGGTAGAAAAGAAGACTGATCATAGTTGATCTAAATATTATTTCTGGTCCTTTGGGCAAGTAGGAGGCAACAACATAAAGGAAGATTTTCCCTTCCTCAAAATCTGAGGCAGTAATGGTGATGAGGAGGAAGCAGCTGAGTTCCGGAAACTCCTTCTCAAGTCAATAGAATGGGGAGTCAAATGCACACAGTTCTTGAAGAGTTCCATTCTCCTGGGTGTGTTATTTCTAGTGAGAATGATGCGAAAAGCCTAGGTTTGAATTCAGGTTTACTTCATGGAATATATTTAGCCCATGCTCCCTATCTGGACCCTGGGTTATCCACTCTCTAAGGCCATCTGTTTTTTTTT